GCATTTGAATATAATTCAACAAAACATAAAACTAAGACTTGGAGAAGTCACTACTTATCTGAGCTAATGCCAGCACTGAAAATTAGTACTAAATGTATTTGACAATAAACGTTCACTCTTTTCTGTAGCAGATGATCAATAAAACCCAATTTAATCCAGATTACTCAATTAGAGCTCTCGTTTGTCACACTTAGCAGCTTTAGCACATGGTAGCTTATCTAGCTGGCTCCTGATTGGAGCAATGCCCATCAGCCGGGCCTGCAGAGTCAGAGGACAGGCTGAGAGGGCAGATGGAGCCTAGGTGATGTATTATGCATGGACAAAAATCATTCTATGGTGAACCAGATGAGGCCACGGGAGAGAGGGATGACTGACCCAGCCAGACCCATCACACGTTCACTCCCTCTGCATTACCTCCCCCGCCTCTGGTCCTCTGAGACTGAATGCAGCCTCCTGGATGCACTCGCCCACAACCCTGGGCACAAGTCCAGCACTACTGGCCAATTTATGGAGTCAGACATTTGTGCTGAAATATTAATTCAGGAAAGGTCTGTATTTTGGTCGATATGGCATAAAAATGTGATTATTTTTTGGGAAAAATGCTGTCAGGATGGGATTCAATCAGGTAAAATAAATGCGCATCATCACGTCATTGAGTTACTCTGAGAACTTGTTTATAGAAAACGATGCTTGATGGTTTCATGTGTTCATCAGCTGTTACAAGTAGACCAAAAACAGTTCTAATAAATTCTTTTTTTAATCAAAATTTTATTTGTGATTATTTGGCTCATGCTTAAGTTGTTTTGTCAGTCTCAACAACAATCTTAAATGAAGATCAAATTTGATCTAAGCATTGATTTCATAAGAACTAACAATCATATTTGAATTTGGTGCTTAATACACACTAAAAAGTGATGTTTTATGGAAAATGATCATTGTTTGACCTCTAAAATTTTGTCCAATCAAGCGTATTTGTCAGAAACGGCAACTCTCTCTGTTGGAGATAGGTCTGCCTTCTTTTTCTTGTTTTTCTTCAGGAGTGACAGATGTGTCTTCAGCTCTCCACTGATGATTAGAGTGCAGAGGAGGTTGCAGGGGATCACACGGATCTTATTTATCAGTGTCTTTACTCCGTCACTTTCAAAGTCACCTTTACTGGCCTCCAAACTACATTTGTGCACCCTCGCTCTTCTACCCTCCTCCAACCTTCCTCCTCTCAATTCCCCAGCAGTAGTGAGTGACAGCTCATCTAATGTAGTCACAGCTGAGTACGGCACGGGGAGGAGAATTAGAGGTAGGGTCGGTAGGAAGGGCTCTGCAGCCGATCTCCTCTCAGCTTGACTGCAGGATACACACCAGATGGGCCTTTGGTGTGGCAGGAGAATCCACGTGAATCAGCTCTGCAGTCAGCCGAGTCCTGAAGGAGAGTAGCAGCATTTATACTCTTATGTGGTTTCATGATTCCTCAGCTGAGGACTGAGAGGAGGGATTTTAAATGTGTTATCAGCTCTTTCCCTCAGTGCATTTCCTGTCGATAATTATAAACCGACAATTCCTCACTTATCAAAATGCCAAAAGCCCTTTCCATGTGTCTTAGCTTCATCTATAGACTCATCTAATTCAGATGTGTGCATCAGAGCTAGCTAGAGGCCAGCAGACTGGCTAAATGTCATTTAGTAAAGCATGAATGTTTGAAACTTGAACTATGAATAGTATACTGGTAAACTGACTGCTAATGCACTTTTCTACTAGAAGTTTTTCACTAATTTGCAGATCAGTGACAACATGAGGCCAGAGTGGTTGATACTAACTCCTCCCACCCTGGAAATGAACTTTTAGAGCTGATCCCTTCAAATTGCAGGCTATGGTCCATCAGAACCAGTACCTCACAAAATCACACAATGGTTTCTTCCAATCATCTGTTGGATTTCTGAACACTAATTAGAAAACTACATTAAGCAAACTTTAAGAAAATGCTACTTTTAATTTACACTTTTGCACATCTTCTGCATGCTTGCTTGTATTTTCTTGACATTTTTTCAATGTTCTTGTATGCCTAATACAATGTGTGAATGTTTCTGCACCAGTTAAAGCAGGAATCTGGAGCTTTGTTGTCAGATGGTACCATCTAGAGGCGGAAAATGTATTGCACCTTAAGCCCCTCTCCTTACTTCAGGATCATGGCTGAAAGCAGCGTCTCTTGTTTGTGAATATGCACGTTTAGCATGGCAACAGAACAAAAACATTGTTTCACAACTGCTGTTTAGCGTACTCACCTCCACGGATGTCAGTCAAGGGGGAAGTCCTCCTCAGATCACAAATACAACCTTTTTCAAAATTAATGACTTAAGTACCTCTATTTGCTCATGTCTCAAAGAAAAGCCCAAATCTAAATAGTTCAAAGTTGATGCCAAAGCTGTTTCAAATGAGCGTCATTTCCATTTTTGTTGCAGCTCTAGCGCTAAGCCCGCCCAATAACTGTAGAGCACTATGATTGGCTAAACACAAAACTGTTCAGACCGATGGTAGACCAGAGGGGGCTACAATGGAGTGTGGCTAGACCAATCTGGAGAACTAAATTGTTGTGCTACTGGTACAGATGGTCTATATTTCTAGGTTAAATCTGTCTAGATAAACGTTAAACCACTTTCTGTGATTGACGTGTCCGTAAGCGGGTGTTTATTGGCTAATGCTGAGCAGCGCTCAATTTAAAGGACGCTATGGAACGGGGGGCAGGCTTAGCAAAACAATAGTTGACATATTGCCTGCATCAAATCACAGTACAGAGTAAGACTATCACTTCTACAGATTTCCAACAAAAAAAAACTCACACATAATTCCTGAAAGAGTGCTGCATTAATCCAGACAATTGCTTGTTAGTAAAGTTAGTAATAGCCTAGTTTGTGGGAGCTAAAGGAGGCTGAAAAGACAGACTGATGGTGACCTGGCTTTGTTGCTACTGGACTTGTAAGTAATAATATTTTTTGTTTTCTTTTTACTTCATGGTTTATTTTTAAAATAGTTGGCTCATGTTAGTGTTAGCTTGTCATTAGCGCTAGCTACAGCAGGCTGTGGCAAGGTTTATCATGATAGCTGTAATTCCACTATCAGCCAGTAGGAGGGAGAAGCTGAAAACTGTTTAGTGTTACGTTAAATACTGTTGAAGCTCAAACCTGTTTTACACAGTTTCAGCCTTTTTCTATGTTAAACTTGAGTATTTATGCTCCATCATCAGTATATTTACCCAGTAATGAATACATTTAAACAGCTACTTAACATTCTGGAGAGTCTCCTGATGCGAGGAAGCTAAACAGACAGAAATGCCTACTAATCCTGTCAGCTGATGACACATTATCTGCAAAAAAATAAGCTAAAATAAACAGGTTCATGTTCAAAAGTCAAAGACTGCTGGCGGATTATCTCAGCAAAACTAAATTACCCAACACATTCTTTGTTACCTGTCTTTGAAAGGAGAAACAGGAGAGGAGAAAAGGTAAATAAATAAAATGAAACCTAAGGAGTGTTCAGGGTCGGTCAGCAGACACTCTGTAGTCTGTGCATGCCTCACGGCCCTGCATGCTGCTGCTTTTCAATAGGATTTGAGACTGAAACACACTTTTAAACCTCAAAGGCAACAAGGACAGAAAAAAATCTAAGAAACACTAAATATTATAGATTTTATTTGTGAATTTTTATGTTTTTTTAGTCAATATCTCATAAAAACTGCTAAATATGGATGCAACAAAAAATGCCTAAGACCGTTTCATTTGTCATCTGTAGCTGCTGCAGCACATTGACAACTAAACTAATTTTGATGTAAAGTACACTGCAGCAAATTAATATTGCGAGCATGTGCATTTCATCAAAAACAACTCAATCCGGCAGCATCACCAGAACGGGATGCATCCTCCCTCTTGGAGCTCTTAGAGATCCATTCTCTCATCTCCTCTTCCTTGACAAAGGTTATATGAAACAATGAGCCGTAACAAGAGAGGACAACAGAAAAAACAGACGGTGTCGTGACCCTTTTGACTCTCTTTAACACAGTAACAGTGACTCTGGTTATTTGTTCAACTAGAAAAGTCTTGTTTTACCTCCATCTCTGTGAAAATGGAGTCAGAAATGATAAAGACACTGGGATTGTATCTCATTGAGAGACATGTAAATTGAAATACACTGTCATCAGATTTTCTAATGCAGATCGGCATTGGAGTGGCAGCAGAGTGTGATGCAGCGAGTGTAACCTTGTTGTTTCACCCCTGTTAGTCAATATCTTCGGCCCTTTTGAGACCTTTGGAAAGAAAAGCTTAGAAACTGCGTTCAACATCCTCACTAGCAATTTGCACTGGTGCATCAGAGCTTATGAAGCTTTGGTCCTCAAAAATTACAGCATTTAGCTGAATGTTGCTGCAACAAAGCATGTCTACTAAGTTAATTGTGCAAATTATTATTTTTCATATGAGAAAAAAAATCTTAATTTTATAAATAAAGAGGTTCTGAAAGAAAGTGGGCGGCACTTAAAGCGTACGCTAAGGAGCCAGCCACTAGGGGGTGCTTGTTTTATTTCAGGTTCAAAGTGTGTGTTGGTCGTCCATGTTGGTTTGAAATCAAGGAAGTTACTTATAAAGCAAAAGCTTTCATTTATGTTTGCAAAACCTGAAATATGTTGCTGTGTTTTTGTTCCAATTTGAGTAAATTTGGATATCTAGACATTTGCTATTTTTATTTTTCTGTAAAATCAGTGTCATTTATTTATTTATTTATTTATTTATTTATTTATTTATTTTTGTAAACATTTTCTTTAAATCAGAAGGAACTGGCTGAATCAAATCGAGTCAACAGTTTAAAAAATAAAACTGTAGGTGTTTATGTCGTGTTTGTTTACATGAAGTGGGCGTGGCTTACACAGTAGCCAGTCACTAGGGAGGATTGATTTGACTTTGTGTGTTGCAACCTCCTTTGTTATTGGCAAGTCGGAATAAAATATGCTGATTGTGTACCTGGGCATCCACAAGGAGGTGCCTCATCAAGTTCATGGACTTCTGCAGGGTCTCCTTCTCAGGAGGTGCAAAGGGGACCTTCTCCTCCGGCTCCACAGACTTGGGTCCAGTCACCATGAAGCTTGCTATCTGGTCATTCAGACTGTTCAAAGACTGCACGGCTGGGAGAAGACACAAAAAATAAAGCTATCATTATTAATTTGTTGAAACAGTGGCTTTGATTTGGTTTGATGAAAAACAATTTCAGTTTACGATAAAAATAGAAAATAATTTGGGTTTCTGGACATTTTGCCTACTTTTAACAAAAGAGGCAGAACAGAGACAAGCCGCTGGTTCCCTACTGTCACACTTTCTCTGTCAACACCATCTCTGGTCTTAAACGTTCCACTCATCCTGTTTTTACCCTTGTGTGTCCCTGTTTCCTCTCAGCTATGAGCTCCCACATTAAAAAGCAGACTTCCTGACTGTATTTCCTCCTTTACACACACACACACACACACACACACACACACACGCTTTCCATTTACTTATCGCTGACCCCTGGTCACTGAAGGCTTGCTGCAAATATTCCTGCTGGAAATCCCAGATAAATGAAAGCGTTGAGGGAAATGCGATTTCCATATTTTTGTCCTCGACTCCTAAAAGTGTCATTATCTGTCGTTCCACTTCTTTCAAACATTAAAATTATTCTAAGACCTGAAAATTACTGAGTAGTTTGTGAGAAAAGGGGGACTGGGCACTTGTCAAAAGGTATTTTTCTTCTCTATACAAACTCTGTGCCATTAAATCTATTGTTCAGCCAGAAGCCTCTACCAGCACATTTCTGCCAAATGAAGAAGTACAACCTGCTTAATCCATTTGAGTAGGAGGATTTTAGGCCAAGCATCTGGAGAAGGTGTTTTCAGGATGCAAATGGAAAGCCTCTTTCACACAAACGCCTATGCATGAAAAAGGCAGGAGAGCATAGATCAATGTGTGTAGCTGGCATTTCCAAGCAAACAAGCTTTGAGGAGCAAATTCGACAAGTCAGGATTGAAGGCTGCAAAGATAAGAAAGGAACGAAGAGGTTGAGGAGCAAGGCCGCGTGCGTCCCTCTGAGGTGAGATGGAGCGGGTGTCAGAATAATGAATGTGTGAACAGGGTTGTTGTCATCCGAATTCACACACACACACACACACACACACACACACACACACACACACACACACACACACACACACACACACACACACACACACACACAAAGTTAAAATTACAATGGATTTGTTTAAAGGAGTGTTAGGAGTTCCAGATTAACTGGATTGTGTGTGTGTGTGTGTGTGTGTGTGTGTGTGTGTGTGTGTGTGTGTGTGTGTGTGTGTGTGTGTGTGTGTGTGTGTGTGTGTGTGTGTGTGTGTGTGTGTGTGTGTGTGTGTGTGTGTGTGTGATCAGGGTTTGAGTCTAGGTCTGAAAGTTTGATTTTAACTGTTCTTATACTGCCCTCTAGTGGACATACATCACTCTATGCAGGTCTGATCTTAACTAAAACATTTATTAATTTCAGATTTGATTCCAGTATTAAAATGTAAAAATCTCTTATTTCTGCAGACCTACAGAGTTAAAGGTTACATGAAAATATTTCATATCAAGTACAAACAAAGAAAAGTTGTTTTAGGTTTTAGTGCTTGTTGCCCCCTGGTGGTCATAAGTGGGTTATAGACTGAAACCTGCATACGCCTTTAATGTATTTGAATTAAATATAACATTTTTTAATGTCATGATTTTTTTATTGCAAAGCTTCATCTAATTAAAATGTTTCAAAAAATTAATGATTACTTTAAAACATGCAATAAATAGATCTGATTGATTATTAAATTACCTAAGAATGCAGAGTTGCATCCAAATGAGGTGCTTTACCTATGAAGCTCTACTTAAGTGGTTTTTTTTTTCGTTTATGAATAGTAAAAACAAATCAAACGGTTTCAAAGACTGTGTTACAGACACAAACCATGCCTGAGCCGCCTGAGTGGAAACCAAACAAACGTTATTGATGAAATCCAAATGAAAGCTACAAGATGCACGATAATCAATACAAGCATATGTGGGTCCCACACACACGGTAACCTTTGACCTGCATATTGAATATCCAACCGTTCAATACTGTGATCATTACACTTCTGATGTAACAAGTTACAGGCTGTAAACATCACTTCAGGGTCAAATCATTTACAAGTGAAATGAAAAACTTTGTTGTAAACAAGACTGAAAGCAAAAAAAATCACTTTATGGAGAACATTTCTCTCTTAATGCAGCAGGTACTGAATCAGCAGATTGTCTTATTTAATTAATTTGAACTAATTTATGAAAAGCTCCAATTAACTTCACAAAATATCTACAATTCAGCTTAAGGTGATGATATTCTGCAAGATAATCCGAAACACGCCCGGGAACAGACAATCAGGAGACATTTCTGCAAAGAATGATTCTGCAAAACGCACCGAACGATGGTGCCTGTCGCATGTGTCGACATCTGAAACCTGAAGAATAAGTTGTACCTGCAGTTTGCTTTTGGCAATATAAAAATGATGACAGAAAGGCAGAGGAATGTCGGTGAGAGGGTGGAAGAAGGCTGAAAATGCAGGGAAAGAAAACCAGCTAAACACTTGCAATTTTTCTCTTTTCTTTCTTTTTGCATTTCAGCAGAATAAAGAGAAAAAATGAAAGGGTGAAGTAGAAACAGCGACGTCCTTATTAAATCTGCTCAGAGAATTCTGGGGGCTGAGAAAAATAGAATCACCACCAATAAAAGAGGATGAAATAAAATATAAGAGTTGGAAAGGAGACTTCACTGCAAACCTAACAGGATGAGGTGCAGTGGCCAGGCTGAAGCGGACTCATTTCACGGGAGTTGTTCACAGCACAGAGGAAGTCTTGAAGAAACTTTTAGAGAAACGAAGAGTCAGGGAACCAAACTTATGTCTGGAGTAACTTTGAGAACAGAAATGTAAATCCTGCTACATGAGATGAACTTTAACACACAAAAAAGTGAAAAGTGGCGTTGTCTATGCAGCCCAATGTAACGAGGACTGCCCAGACCTTTACATAGGGGAAACTAAACAACTACACAAGTGCATGGCACAACACACACCTCTTCAGGTCAAGACTCTGCAGTCCACTTACACCTGAAGGACAACGGACACACGTTGAAGATGACAAGTACACATGCTGGACAGAGAAGATAGATGGTTTGAGAGAGGAGTGAAGGAAGCTATCTATGTCCAACAGGAAAGACCTACATTAAACAGAGGAAGAGGCCTCAGGTTTCAGCTTTCCAGCACCTACAACGCAGCTCTGAGTCCAATTACAAAAAAGTTTCAGTCCAGCGCACACCCTCCCGCATCTAATTAACACAATCGTTCTAACACAACAGGACCCAGTGACATCGACCACCACTTGTGGGGTAGGAAGAAGGGGTATGCATAGGTAGTTTCTGCTCATTAAGCAACAACACACGGCTACAGTTTATAAGCTTGACTCCCACATTCCAGTCAAAATTGACAAAGTTCCTCAGATGAAAAGCGAAACGTCTTCAAGAAACCAAAGAAGTCCAACTGCTTTCCTTTGAACACTTTGGATTACTCTGACCTGCCTGACTGAGAACTTTCACCAGCATCACAGAACTACACGTGTTGATTTGTTCATGTTTACTCTGATTAAACAACCGCATTCCTCTAAGTAGTCCAGACTGTGTTTGCACAGCAGAACCTAAATTAATTTACTTATGAAGCAAGATAGTCACCTCATCTAAGCTGTGAAATTAAAGAATTTCAAGAAATTAAAAGAAAACTAAACCATAATAGAAGCGTGAGTGCTTTAAGGGTAATTGTTTTGTGGCGTGGTTTATTTGACTGAATACTCGCACAGTAAGTAATACGTCTGCAGCAGTTCTGTCTAACGCTTCTCTCTACTGGCGACATTAAAACAGCGCTGAGCCACAAACTTCTTTACAACGAAACCCTGCAGTGGGGCCTGAGTGCCGACATCTTCTTATCACACAGTGAAGTGAATGTAAATAAACAAAATCCATGAATGAACAGCAAACCATGTTTTGGTTGACAAAACGCCAGGAGAGACTCCGTGGACACCGGCAATGGCGTTTAAAAGAAAAAAGCATAAATGCGTCAAAAATGACACTAGCGCCTAATGTAGGAACAATTATGGAAACAATTAAGTCCATGTTGTGTTCATAAGGAACCAGAAATTTCCATAGGCTGGTTTTCATCACGGGGCCTAATGGTTGGTAGCATCATTGGCTCGCAACACAAATATTGCAGTTTTAAATCGCGGTTGTGGCTGTGCATCTGTGTTTTTTTAATAAAGTATTTTTAATAAACATTATGTCCTCATAAAATATTATTGTGGTGTTCACACACAACTCTCTAATTTAATTACATTCATTTGATAAAGATTACAAAGACTATTTAATGTTTTATCCTGTTTCGTTGTGAGGTTTTGGTGGAAAAGTTATAAATATTGGTCAGATTCTTGTTGCAGCAGGTAAAAAGATGATTTAACTTCTTTTGATTGCATCATAAATGTAAACTAAAGTATTTTATGTATCAGATTTGAAGGATGGATTGCATGGAGCCATACTAAGCAACCATGTAGCGACAGTGGAGAGGAAAACTCCCCTCCAACAGAAACTGACTCAATATGAGCAGCCATCCATCACAACTCACTGGGGATTTGGGGAAACAGTGGTTGGCAGCTGTGTGCTGGCCACTGGCCTCCTCCAGGAGGCTGCCAGCTTCTCTGGGGGGAAAAACATTTAGAGAAAACATAAAGTTAGCAGCTGAAATAAAATTCAATAATTCTATGAGACAGTAGTGGCAGAAAGAAGTAGAGTGTGGAAAAGTGGTGAGAATGTCCTCCAGCAGTCTAAAGCCTAATTTATAGTTCTCCGTCTGCGTTGTCACGCAATGCCGTCATCCATCGTTACGAGGACTCGCCAACGGGCTCGCAAGGATAGAAGGAATCGAGTCCACTTTTCTAAACAAGATGGAGAACGCAATCTTGTGATTGGTCATGATGCAGCTTCCTTTAAATTCAACAACACCACCACCATTGCCCCCTTAAACCAATAAAAATAGAGCCAATGATATCTAGCGGAAGACACCAAGCA